TAATAACTTTATTTTTCCTTAAAGGGAGCAAATAGAGCCACAAACTTTAGCAAAAAAAAAAATGAATGATTTTTGAAGTTTCATCTGATGGAACCAGGTCTGGCCCAGATTGATGATGGTCCCCTGTGATAAACTTATGTTTTTACATAATCTTCAATTCAACCTAAACACACTAATTACTGAAAAGTCAGATTACCAAATTGTTTTTATGACAAGACAGCAAAGTGAGTGCTGGTAAAAAGTGTGAAGTGTCACTTGTATACCAAGTAATAATGAGAACTGAGAAATGATCCAACGTTGAAGCAAAGCAAATCTCAGGTAACCCACATGCTGCGTATACACGGAAACACAGTCAGGGTTAAATAGTCATAAATCACACCAAACATTTATTAAAGTGTATCAATGCAAAAGAAAGTCTACAGTAATGTTCCCAATTCATTATCATCCTGAATATCATGTCTTCCTTCCCTCCAAAACAAACAGGCCACAATCTTAATCTCTTCCTTCTTTCTTTATTGTAAATGACTTACAAAATGAATGGCAGTCAAGTCACTCAAAAACCACGATTTCAAAAAATTCAAAATAGTCTGAACTCCTCAAATTACAGTGCATACGTTAAATAGCATCAAACGTTTGGAGCCCTGTCCTACACTGACACACTTAGTGTAAACTTTCCTTCCATAAATGCAGAAGAGGTCACATATTCCCTGGTAGTTCATGCCACTTAATGTAGTTCATGTCATATTTAAGAAAATAAATTCTAAAGCACTGACTAGACATAGTGTATTAAAAAAAAAAAAAACAGGCAGCACCAGATTCATTAGTGACAAGAACTGTATTCACCATGATAAATAGAAAATACTAAAAATGATCCCAAGAGTATTTGGTTCAAACATGAGTTTCAATCATCACATCTGCCTCTCCTAGTGAAATACTTTCAGAGCTTGCTTAAATTCTTTATATTTAAGCAAACCCCTTATATTTAACTTATCTCTCAGGAATCATTAAAATCCATAAAGCATATACTGTTTTTATGATTGTTTAATATTTTTGTCTCTTCTACACTACGAGACCTAACAAGGGAATTCTTTCTTACAGCCTAGTGTACTGTATACAGCAGTGGTTATAAGACTGTATTCTACAATCAAAACACTGCAGTCTCCAGCTCTGCACATATCTCATTTATTATCTTCATTTTAGAGGTGCAGAAGCACAAGGGATTCTCATCAAGTTGTGTGTCTGATCAGTCCAAACCTGGACTCCAGCCAGCCCAGTCTAACTTTTTCCTTTACACTAAACTGTCACAAACCTCTGGGACATCATCTAATGCATAGGACAACTATATTACAAAGATCAACTTTACATTTTACTTAGTTTATAAGTAAAGCCCCTGATAAAAATTGTGAAATTTTTAGTATTTCCTAAAATTTTTGAGTTCATAGTTCATATAATACTACTCAACTAGGACCATTAATGTAGGACAAACCCTAAAGTATTTTTAAGAAATAAATATATCAAGTTTTTAAAAATCTAATAGGAAATCCAAACAAGTGCTATAAAGCTTAGAAGTAGCTTGAAAATACCACTTTTACTGAATTACAATGAAAACAGTTGAAAAAGAAGCCCGTTAGAGCACTGAAACACGTACCTTGAATGGCCCTGAAGACCAGCCTGTCATTGGCTTCTTGAGTAACTACTTCCTCCTCGAGTGACACGGATGCAGTGCTGTAATTGACATGTTCACATTGATTTTTCAAAAGTATGTGTGTATGTGTGTGACTGTAAAGCAAGAAAGTATATAGACTATGTATATTCTACTTTACAATATAGAAGTTCTAAATTGTTCTCTGCTCTAAACCTAAAGAAACACTGAGTTGGAAGAATGTAAAAGTCAGCCAAGTCCCAATTGTGCTTGCCCCTTTGATTCTAGGAGAAGTTGTTTTAAAATCCTTAAAATCTTAGGGCCAGTCAAATAGCTCAGCAGATTAAAGTGCCTGTAAGCAGGTGCAGGGGCCCGGGGTTCAGTCCCCAGGCCTGCCCCCAGGGCACGCTGAGACAGCAACTGAGACTGCCAGTGGTGGCACGCACCCATAATCCCAGCTCTTGGGAGTCTGTAAACAGGCGGATCACTATGAGTCTGATCTACTAGTGAGACCCTCAACACCCTGAAGACCCTTCCCTAAAATAAAATAAACCTTGTAAAAGGTATCTGTGAATATGTTCATTTTTACAGCTGCTTCAATGTTCTTTTAAATATTTAAACAACCAAATTTAAAAGCAGTTTGACCTTGCAAGCCATGAAGTTTTTACATGTTACTTAAAACCCCATCCCTTTGCATTCATTTTTAGAAAGGCAATAAATAATAATGAAACATTTATTTATGGCTAATTTGTGGGATAGATCCTCTAATGAACATATAGAATCAAGTTTCTTTGTATTTAATGTCAAGAAACATTCACCAAGAGGAGTATTGTGCATTAAGTGCCTGCCTGGCAAGCACAGGGACTTGAATTCAATCCTTGTACTGCAAGAAAAAAAAAGAAGAAGAAGAAGAGTATTGTGTACCCAGGAATGGTAGTACATGCCTGTAATGCCAGCACTCGAGAGACTGAGGCAAGAGGATCACTGGGAGTTCAAGGCCAGCCTAGGCCATGGTAAATTGAAGATCAGCCTGAACTACACAGCAAGATCATGTCTCAAAAAAAAAAAGAAATTGGAGGAGGAAGAGGAGAAAGAGAAAAAGAAGGACAGTATGTGTGTATATGCAACTTAAAGACTCAAAAGCATTTAAAATCAATTTTTATTCATAGTATTATGTTTTTCTCTGTATATGATCAATCAACACCTAAGCACATGGCACCCAAGATTTTTTATTCTAAAAAAAATCATACAAAAACTATGGGAAATTATTTTGTAACGTACTACTGATATTTCATGTCTTACAATTTAAATCTTTGGCAGCATTTGGTAAAATAAAAATGCTAAGCAAAGGCAAATTGACGTTATGTTTAACATAAAGCTGGATATTTTAATCTATAATTAACTATAGCTGTTCTCACACACGGGATGTATTTGAGCACAAAATGGCACATAAAATAGAAATAGCTACACTTTTAAATTATATGCATACCTTTTAAGTTATATCTTCTTCGTGCGCCATGAACAGCTCTGGAATGGATACGTCCACATTGATTATATACATATTCTACTTTATAGCCTTCAATATGGAGGCTCTAGCTGTTTCCTGCTCCAAACCCAAAAAGTTCTTCAGAATTAGAAGAGTGTGAAAGTCAATCAGGTCCCAGTTGTGGAACTAACAAAAATCTAAGTGTTTTGTGAAAGAGTCTCACTTTAAGATAAAAATGTTATTTTCACTCACATTCAGAGTAGTAAATGCGTATTTGACTTACTTCACAGAGTCCAAAGCTATTTGATCAATATTGATGATTCGAAGTCTAACTAATAGATATTCTTTTATGCTTTGTGGAAGACTTGGATGATCAGAGCTCAAAAATGTCAAGGTTGCACCCTGAAGAAAGCAAAAGATAAATTATTTAAAGCTACAAAGTATGCAAGAAGCAAAATACAACTCATATCAATTTAAAGTTTTGGTTTTTAAGTGGCATGATGTATTTTAACAATAATAAAAAGTATATCTGAATAATATTTAGAAACTACATGTGCACTAGCTAATATCATAGAAGCACAACCCTCCCAAGTATTCAATTAGAACAGTCTTCTGATTAATGATCAGTGTGAACAAAAGAGCCAGCTACATA